TATTCACATTTAGTTTAGTCCCCTTAAAAGATCCATGCATGTAACGGATGTTTTGGGTTTAATGTTTAGATTTCTTCATTTTGCAGGACTTAGAGAAATCATTGAAGATAGTTTTTTCTGTACTTGTTTAGTTGTTTTGTTTCAGTTCACCTTAAGGTTGAAAGTATTATGAAACAACTACATCACCTTTGAGTGACCAATGACAAAGAAAAGAGATAAGAGAAATTTCATTTAAGCAACATCTCTTGAATACTTAGATAACAGTGATACTACGTTTTGTGTTATTGTCATTGCTCTTAACAGTCACTCATATACCAAATCATAATTTACATAAAATGCAGTTTAGACATGCATGCATATGATAACTTTTCTCACAAGATACTAATATTCTGTTTAGCATAAAAAAGTGAATATCCTATTTCACCTTTTCAATATTATCATTGAACTTGTCTCAACTACCCCATCCACCCAACAAGTTTATCCATACAACTTTATACTTGTTAACAATTATTGAATTCTTGATTAATTAAATCACATTATCTCCCGAAATTTTGAAAAAAATATTATAGCTATAAACCAATGAGAGATTTTCCCGACAAAAAGAAAAAAACAAGAAACCATCATTTACCAGCTAATTATCCACCTAAAATATGATAATACTGATTACTTTTTTTTTTGCTTTACATGGATACATTGTGGAGTCTGACTCGACAGAAATATAATATGCACCATGTAACTAAACGATTTTCTCTTATTTTTCGAAGTCATAATATTTTTTTTTTTCCATTTCAGTACTTTTCAATTATGTTTTTTCTTTACAATCGATCCTCAAAATATAAAGAAAAATTTAAATTGTATCAAATGGATGTAAAAAGTGCATTTTTGAATGGTTTTATAAAAGAGGAGGTATATGTTAGTCCAACCTCCTGATTTGAAGATTTTAAATTTCCTTATCATGTGTTTAAACTGAAAAAGGCATTGTATGGCCTTAAATAGGCACCTAGGTCTTGGTATGAAAGACTTAGTACTTTCTTGATTAAAAATGATTTTTCTAGAGGAAAGGTTGATTCAACCTTATTCATTAAGAAAGTAAGAAAACATATTTTACTTGTTCAAGTGTTTGTGGATGATATTATCTTTGGATCTATTGATGGTTCATTATGTGAGGGTTTTGCAAATATAATGCAAGGTGAGTTTGAGATGTCTATGATGAGTGAACTGAATTTCTTTTTAGGACTACAAATAAGCAAATGGAGGGGAACTTTTGTGTCCCAAACCAAATACTGTAGAGAAGTACTTAGAATTTGAATGGATTACTTGTAAAGAAGCCAACACTCCATGGCAGAACTTTTTGTTACTTAGATACGGATGATTTGGAGAAGTTAATCAAACTTTGGGGGTGTGTGTAGAGGGATGATTAGGATCCTCTGTTGTTATCGTTGACTGCTAGCAGACCAGATATTATTGCAAAGTGTGTGTGTGTGCGAGGTACCAAGAAATCCTAAGGAATCTCATTTAACTGTTGTTAAGAGAATCTTAAAATACCTAAAAGGAACTATCTCTTTTGGACTTTAGTATCCTTCTGATGCATTGCCTAGCTTAGTTGGTTATTCTGATGCAGATTATGGGGGCTGTAAAATAGATAGGAAGAGTACTAGTGGTACTTGTCATTTTCTAGGATGTTCTTTAGTGTCTTGGCACTCAAAGAAACAAGCATGCGTCGCCTTGTCTACCACTGAAGCTGAATATATAGTTGCAGGCAACTGTTGTGCCCAAATCTTGTGGATGAAACAACAATTGGAGGATTTTGATATCTTCCTTGATCACATTCCTTTGAAATGTGACAATACTAGTGTTATAAACCTAATCAAGAACCCCATAATGCACTCTAGAACTAAGCATATAGAGATAGACAAATCACTTTCTTAAGAGATCAATCCAAAAAGGTGATTGCTCTATAGAATATATCGATACTTTGAATCAATTAAGAGATATTTTCACAAAAGCCTTGCCTAAAGAATAGATTCTAGACTTAGAAGAGAGTTAGAGTCATAGACATGTCTTAGACTCAAGATTTCTTACTTTTTCACGCTTTTCGTACTCCCAGCGTATTTAATCGATTATCCAAGGGATATAATCGATTATTTTGAGCGCCTGAGAAAGGGTTCAATTCGTATTTAATCGATTATTCTGAGGCATAATCGATTATTCTAACTAGCTCCTTCAAATCTAAGGGTAGTCATAAACAAATATCGATTACTACCATCAATAATCGATTGTCCTTCTTCTCTTTTCTTTATGGAAATCTTTCTTTTTGAGCGATAATCGATTTCACTAACCATAATCGATTTCACGCGTACAATTTCAACAAAATATGTTTCCAACCAAAAACGTCTTAAAACGGCTATAAATGACCAGAACGACTAGTTTTTCAATCTTCTTCCTATAAATAGCGCTTAAAGCGCTTATAATAATCGATAACTAAGCCACTCCTTTGCAACCCAAACTCTGCTTCAACTAAGATCTCTGCAACCAATTTCCTCTTTTCTTTCCATCACCTTCAACCCCCCCCCCCCCCCCCCCCCCCCACCCCCCCCCCCCCCCCCCCCTATATATATATATATATACTTGCATTAACTGTTAAAAAATTGTCTTTATGCAGTCTTGTACCAAAAAAATAACAGATATAAACCCTGTATGTTATTGTAGCAATGACATATTTTTCATGAGCAGAAGTTAATAGTTATTTTTTTCTTTCCTTACATTACAATTGATTATGGTTTTGCCAACTTGATACGCAGTACTTAAACATGCAGATCCTAAACTATGCTTTTTTAGTATACAACATTACATGACTAAAGTGACATTAACAACTATAATATCGAGGACGTATTTTTCCAATTAACTAGCAGACAGCTCAGAGCTCTCAACATGATCAAAACATACTTGTAAAACTTAATTAAGATTGATTAATGTGAAGCAGGGATTATCCCTCACTTAAGCCAAGTGGAAATTTGAAGGAACGTGGCAAGTTTTGACAAATATATGGCTGAGAGGGAGGTTTAATCAGAAAGTTTGGTACAAGAAAACATGCAAATCCTAGAGCATGTTGGTGATGTAGCAACAGAAAATAAAATTTTCAGACAGTTACCAACCTCCAAACTTCTTCTTTTTCACTCTTTATATAGTCCTCTGAGTTCATAAACGGCTACACACTCATCCCACTAAGTTAATCATGGAGAAAGCAAGCACTAAATCTGCTTTGAAGGTTGGGAAGCTTAGTTTCATTTGTTGTTTTGTTCTTTCCCTCAATAACATGTCCTAACTGTTTCACTGTTGTTTTTTCCATTTTCCTTAATTTTCCATGCAAAAGTTTGTGAAGAACACTTCTCAGTCTGCAGCTCAATGGAGCAGTACTAATTCTAGAGGAATGGTGAGATTATGCCTAGCTTTTCCCTCACATACATGAGTTCAGATTCTCTGCTGGATTTTTTAGTGCTAACCTATGCTAAACATTAAAAATATATTAATGTATTTTGAAGGCATAGCAGAAAAACAACACAAAACAACCTAACGGAGAATTCAAACTCTACCTTATATATATAAACCGTAAAAGGGCCCTCCTTATTTTATTCACATTTAGTTTAGTCCCTTAAAAGATCCATGCATGTAACGGATGTTTTGGGTTTAATGTTTAGATTTCTTCATTTTGCAGGACTTAGAGAAATCATTGAAGATAGTTTTTTCTGTACTTGTTTAGTTGTTTTGTTTCAGTTCACCTTAAGGTTGAAAGTATTATGAAACAACTACATCACCTTTGAGTGACAATGATAAAGAAAAGAGATAAGAGAAATTTCATTTAAGCAACATCTCTTGAATACTTAGATAACAGTGATACTACGTTTTGTGTTATTGTCATTGCTCTTAACAGTCACTCATATACCAAATCATAATTTACATAAAATGCAGTTTAGACATGCATGCATATGATAACTTTTCTCACAAGATACTAATATTCTGTTTAGCATAAAAAAGTGAATATCCTATTTCACCTTTTCAATATTATCATTGAACTTGTCTCAACTACCCCATCCACCCAACAAGTTTATCCATACAACTTTATACTTGTTAACAATTATTGAATTCTTGATTAATTAAATCACATTATCTCCCGAAATTTTGAAAAAAATATTATAGCTATAAACCAATGAGAGATTTTCCCGACAAAAAGAAAAAAACAAGAAACCATCATTTACCAGCTAATTATCCACCTAAAAGATGATAATACTGATTACTTTTTTTTTTGCTTTACATGGATACATTGTGGAGTCTGACTCGACAGAAATATAATATGCACCATGTAACTAAACGAGTTTTCTCTTATTTTTCGAAGTCATAATATTTTTTTTTTTCCATTTCATACTTTTCAATTATGTTTTTCTTTACATCGATCTCAAAATATAAAGAAAGTATCCCTTTTTCGCATGGTCATGAAAATGAAGTTTAATGGTATTTCTCAGTTTAAAGGTAGTTCATAATCATTTGCACACATGGACTACGTATGTGTTTAGACATATTGGACCACTTTTTTTCCTTTTCTCACTGAGATGATTAATTCATGAAGCACGCAATTCCATAACTCGGAACAAGTGCGTCACCCCCACAGTGGCCCCAGAATGATCACGCGAGTTTTGTCTACTAATGTTATAATTATTATCCTTTTTACTTTCTTCTTCGTTATTCTATGAATGATTGGTTGTTTAAAAACCCCTCTACCTTATTATACATGAATCATGATGGCCACCTAAATAGACATAATGGGATGTTTCAATGTGCTCAAAGACAAGTTCTATGACAAGACTAAAGTAACTAACATGGTATATATGCACGATTTAGTACGTAAGTTTCTGCAGTATATATATGTGCAAATTTCTAATATCAAATTTGGTGAGCTATTTTTCTCTCTGTGTAGGCTTCAAGAAGGTCACCACCCAAAGAAAGTAACATGGTATGATATACACACACACACGTGGTAGCACGTAAATTTCTGCAGTATATATATGTCAAGTTCTTAGTTCTAATTTTGTGAGCCATTTTTCTCTGTGATGTCTAGGCTTCAAGAAGGTCTCCACCCAAAGAAAGCACATTGGTATGTAATATATGAGTTAATATATATATATATATATGTGTGTAAATTTCTTCTTCCAAATCTGGTGAGCAATTTTTGTCTGTCTAGGCTCCACCAAAGTCTCCACCAAGGTCTCCACCCAAAGAAAATACTAAGCCACAGGAATTCAAACTCCACACTCAAGAAAGAGCTGTCAAGCGTGCAATGTTCAATTATGCTGTAAGATAATGTGAACAATCAGTGCTGAAGTTAGGAATTAGCTTTATGTGATTATTGATGAATGTGGTTTTGCAATCATGCACAGGTGACAACAAAATTCTATATCATGGAGCTGCAAAAGAAACAAGAGGAGAGGCTGCAAAAGGTAGGCACATAAATAAGCTACTTGAGTTTATTTATAAGAACGAGAGTAACATTTGAGAAAAGTTCATATATGAAATTAATTCAGTTGATATGGAGCAGTTGATTGAAGAGGAAGAGGTTCGTTTGCTAAGGAAGGAAATGGTTCCAAGAGCTCAATTGATGCCTTATTTTGATAAGCCATTCTTCCCACAAAGGTAAAGTGCAACCATCAAATTTTCTAGGATGATAAAATGAAAAGTAATTATAGGTGGAAAGTGTGGGAAGGAAAGGTTGATATATATATATATATATAGAGAGAGAGAGAATTGGAACAAAAATATAATGTTTAATAAAGAGTGATGGCTTAAAATCATTTACACTATATGCATAAAGATTAAAAGAAGGATTAAGAGCTTAATAGTAATGGAAAATTTGAAGAGATAGATATAAAATTGGACATGCAGATCAAGCAGCAGGAGTGTTCCAAGAGAATCGTGCCTCCACATGATGAGCAGCAAGTGCTGGAGCTGCAGCGTTGGCAATGAAATTTACAGCTTGCACCACTATGGTCACCAAGCTCTCAAACCCATCAAGTAGAAGCTTTGTGGGAAAGAGCATGTAAAATGTATTCATCTTTGAATGTCATGCATGTTGTACACTATCCTTAGGAAACTTAGAGTTTTGTACCATACCATGCCCCCACAACCTAGCTCCTTCATTAGGCTTCTGGAGATGTTTTGATGATGTTTTCTTTCTCATAAAATAAAGATCAATCATGTACTTTTGTTGTTGTGTCTTGATCTTGATTGGTATTTCCATATACCAATGTCAATGTACCAATATTTTCACATTCCAATGCCTTGTACTTTTTGGAAATCAATAGAATACAATTATCATTTTGCATCTGAATCTATATCTTAAGGAATAATGATAAATTTATAAGTAGTTAGTATGAAGCAATCTTTCAACTTAGTAACATTTAATTAAATTATTTATCATCCCATTATTTCTAACAGTATATTTCACCTTTGAAATCATCCTCAATGGTATGTGTGAACTGTCAAGTGGCTAATTTGAAACTCAACTAACTAAGGTATATTTTAAGTGTGTTTTCTGTCTTTTTGTGTCTATTTTTTTATTTAATATAACGTATATGATATTTATAAGTTAGATATAGTTTAAAAACCTATTTAAAAATTTAATATATAATGACATTTTTAAATATTATCATAATTTAGTAATCTTCTCATGTCATTATATTCTAAGAACATTTATTACTTATTAAAAAATAACAATAGTTGGCTAGTATAATTTTGTATCTATTTAAAATTTTCTTGTAATTATCACTCTTATAAAACTAAGTTATAAATGCTCTATATAGTGTAAAAATAATGAATTTTAAAAGTAGAATTACTTACTCTTCATAAAAAAATTAAGATATGTGCAAATGACATAGTATTAGATACTAATTTCAATACAAAACGACTTTTAAAAGGTCCCATAAAATACCTTTCATGCGAAACAAGCTCTCAAGAGTTCAGCTTCATTTCTTCATTGTTTTTCTCCTCTGAATCAAAATTGTCACCATTAAAGCTTTCATGGAAAGGCCGAGTAACAAGTTTTCTATAACACTCAACGATGGCCCCATGACCCAGAAGCGAGAGGAAAATTCATATTCGCACTTCCTATTTATTATTTGAACCCCCACTTTTCGCTTTTATTGTATTTTTTTTGGTGAAAATATTACTGGCAGTTTCTATAACTACGAACACAGTTTCAAAAAAATTTAGCTGTTTTTAAAAGTTAAAAAATAATTAACTTTTTCTTTCTAATATATTTATCAAATCTATTATTGTCTTTTTCTTCTAGAATAATGTATTTATGGAAAAATAAATTATTTTAAAATTAAGATATTTTATTACTGTTCTGAAAACACAACAGAAATTATGTTCAAAAGGAATGTGAAACAAAAATGGACATTGTGTTAAGTTTTTAGAAAAAAGTAGTAGAATTTGGGATTCAAAGTATATAATAAAAATAACTTTTTTGTTGTGTGATTTTTTAAAATTGATACAATAAAATTAAGTTTTGATTGAAATAATTTTTCAGAAAAAATAAATGCAACCAAACATATTTATACTTCTATATCGCATTTATTTCTCTCTACTTTATCTTATCATGTCATTTGTTAAAACTTATTTATTGTAATAATGTTTAAGTTTAATTAATTTTTAAGTAAGTATAACACTAAGGCATTTTTAATTAATTTTTTTTGTTACTTTCTTAGTGAGTATTTAAATGTTTTATATTTTTTAATTAATTCTTTTGTTGGTTAATTTTTTTTCATTAACTTAGTGTTTAAGTTAGTTTGTTTGGATATCTCACTTACTTACTACTGTCGCAAATGTGAGATTATGTAAATAATATAAAAATGATATTATAGTTAATATAAAAAACATGAATTACTTTTATTATTCTTATTGAAAACGTATTATATAGCACGGTTTTGTCAGAATACTATATTTATAATCCAACACATTTTTAATGAAAATGATAAAAATCTTTTATTATTTTATATTAATTACAATAATTTTTTAATATTAATCACAAAATCTCACTTAATTAACCATCTCATCACCAATCATCACCAGTTAACTAAAACAATTCAAATAACAAAAATAATTAAATACTAGAAACTTATTCGAAAAATATTAAAAAAAATAATCACATTAATTTAAAAGAAAATATCAAGTTAAGAACTTTACAAAAAAAAATCAACAAAATTATTTTCTATCATTTTCAACTATTGATTAAGTCATTTCTTTATAATTCAATTTAATTAAGTCATGACCGAATATTAAAAAAAAAATATTATATTTATCATTATTATTTTTCTTTGTAAGGTAGTTCAATGTCACTATGTAACAAAAGTATATAAAAATATAAGAGAGAACAAGAAAATGATAAAACTAAATTAAGTTACAAACTAAGTTGGAAAGGATGAATAAATATACTCATACTTATAGAATAGAAAGAAAAGCATTTTTGTGAAGAAAAAAATTTGAAAATAAATGTTAATGTATAATGAGAAAAATTAGAAAGAAAATAAATATTTTAAAAAATAATTGCAAATAAATATAAGGTGAATGAATTTTGTTCAATTATTAGTTCAATTGAGGAATATAAAATGATACACCACAAAACTAAAATCAAATACAAAAAAAATTATATGATATTGAACAAATAATCACATTTGTTAATAAATGAATTTTATGTTATTGATAAAGTTTACACTCGTTTATAAACTCTAAAATGATATACAAAAATCAATATGACCAAACATTTTCATGTTTGTTGTGCTTCATTGCAAACCTTCATGGTTATTTTGTCTTCAAACAACAGACTCAAATATGCCTTTGTTAGTGGCCTTATGGTTTAGATTATTTCCAAAAATCATTCCTCCATATCCATATTGTTGAACAACTAGCACAGACGAGCGTGAACCAAAATTATTTGACACCAAAATGTCTCCTATGACTCCAAGTTCCAAGCACTCACACCACTCTAGCAAATCTGTGAATACCTTAGAGTTCCTACAATTCCCTTGTCCAACTATGTAAAGATCACAACCAAATTTTTCTATTTCATTGAGGACTATAGGAATATCTTCACCATTATGAACATCAATCTCTGAGTAAGATATTGAATCATTATTGTTAACTGCTGTAAGTCTGAATGTGTTTATATATTCATCATCTAACTCCTTTTGCTTATCTGTGTCTATAACTACAGATAATATCTCTTGTGTTTCATCATGAACAGAGGCATCTACTTCTGCTGCTTCACCTAATAGAAGTATTCGAACCACTGAGAGTTCTGTTCCTGGACGTCCTACCATCCTCCATGCAATGGCCAATGCTTCACGATCATCAGGACCACCAACAAAGACCATGCGAACATGAAGGTTCATTTTGGGAACTAACCCAAAATCACGGTCAATAAATATTCCCACAGAGCAGGGAGCACCTTGCATTACATTTTGGTTTATATCTTTGTATACAACATTGGTTACTTCTAAAGTACCTTCTAAAGTTAATTGTTTGTGAAATGGAAGAAGAATTAAGCTTGTGCGTTTCTCATCTGCTGAGTGGTATATGTCCTCATGAATAGTTGCATATGCTGACACCACATTTAAGGTCTCAACTCTAATAGCGTCATATGCCTCTCCAAGAGCATCAAATGCATTGTGAATGCTTTCTAACTCTTCTTGAGACCTGGTTAAGTTTTGTTCTCCAGGTTGGTTGCTAGGCTTCCCTATATGTGCAGCAACTAGGGCAGCAGCACGTCCAGTAAGTTCAACAAGGTACAAGGCAAAAACATGCACAGGGGAAACTCTCATGGCATTAAAACATTCAATTATGTTAATCATGTTTGCATCTTGGCGAGTATTATGGATACATGTTATAAGTCGAAGCTCTGAATCAATCCTTAGTTTTTGTATGGTCTTTAGCTTATTTTGTTCAAATCTCTTTCTTGGTTTGAAAATGGCATTGATGACGGGAGACACAATTATGGTCATTAGAAGAACAGCAGAAGTTATAACAGCATAGGTAGGTACAGAAAATATCTGCAATAACACATCACAAGAACTTATGGATTATACTGTAATTTCATATTTAAGAAACTAAAAGTAATTGAATACAATGTTTTTAAATAGATCAATACCGTTCTATCCCAAGCAATGTTCAACATTATTAATGCCATGGCGCCTTTATTGTTCAAAATCAAGCCCAAAGTCAAACCATCTCGGATACGCATACCGGAGAATAAAGTAACAAATAAAGTGCTTAAAATCTTTAGAGCACATAACAAGAATATAATCATAATTATAAAGGGCCAATTTTCATGGAAGAAAATTGCAATCAGCATAAGTTTCATCCCAGTCCCAGTAAAGAATAGGGGTACTAAAAAGCCGGCAACAAAATCATCTGAAATTGACATAACCATTTCAGCAAATTTCCCATGAGGTAAAATTAGTCCAAAAACAAAAGCCCCAACAATGGCATGTGCACCGAGAAAATCTGAAATGCATGAACAAGCTAAAACACCCATGAATATAAATAGCAATTGGTTATCATTCCATTCATCTTTGTCTGCCTTGCGATCAATAAACCATTGAATGACTGGACGTACCACAAAGATGCACACAACAATAAAGATTATCGTGCATGGCACAGTGTAGATAGCTCCTTTACCATTAATTGAAAATGGAACAAATAAAGTGAAAAGAATCCAACTATAGGTGTCACCAATCATAGAGGCTGTTAAGGCCGCTTTTCCAAGACCAGTATAGAGGAGCTTAAGCTCAGAAAGTGTGTGTGCTACCACAGGAAAACTTGTAACAGTAAGAATTAAAGTCCAAAGTATATAAGCCTTATTTGTACTTTCCTCAAGGGGAAACATCATAATATGTCCGTAAACTTTTCGAAACAAACCATATAACCATGGTGCAATGAGCATGGGAAAGATGATCCCAGCAATTGCGATGCTTGCAGCTTTCCTTTTCACGTGTAGGATGGTAGTTAAGTTCATCTCTAATCCACTAAGGAATGCATAATAAATAAGACCAATGTGCGAAAGGACCTCGACATTAACAACCCCGTTTACCGGAAAAATGAACTCAAAAATGAGCGTGAATCTTCCAAGTAATGGTGGTGTTAGTAGGAAACCAACCTACACAATTATAATTTAGAATGTCCACACATTACATTGTTAGAAAGCCACGTATAAGAAATTTTGAGATAATTTTCATAAATAAAATGACTTTTTATTTACTTACAGCGATTTGTGAAATGAGACGAGTTTGATGTAAAGGTTTGTAGATTATGGAAAAGATACGAGATAACCCA